TCCACCATGGCAGCTTCTCCATGTGCTCGAGGCTGATAGTTGGCCTCGAGGTCCTCTCCTTGTGCTTGAGGAAGATCCACCATGGCAGCTTCTCCATGTGCTCGAGGCTGATAGTTGGCCTCGAGGTCCTCTCCTTGTGCTTGAGGAAGATCCACCATGGCAGCTTCTCCATGTGCTCGAGGCTGATAGTCGGCCGCGAGGTCCTCTCCTTGTGCTTGAGGAAGATCCTCCATGGCAGCTTCTCCATGTGCTCGAGGCTGATAGTCGGCCTCGAGGTCCATGCAATCTTCTTCTCCTTGTGATTGAGGAAGATGGTTGTCAGGCTCAAGGTCCACGGCATCACATTCTTCTTCTGCTTGACATTGGGGGATGGTCTGGACAAATTTCCTTGCTTTTTGCACATACTCTTGAAGCGGATGGATCCCGCCATGTGTGCCTCTGTTCCTCCTTGGAGCAGGGCCAGAAGAGCTGACTAGGCTATTAATGCTAGCGCACTTGAGAGCCCGGGGCTTCTCAATGCTTTTGAGGATCCCCACGATGAATAAAAAGATTGATGCTAGCAACAATCTCACGTCGCCGCCTGGCCATGATTTGCAGAACACGTAGATGGCCACGGTGACCTGAGATACGGAGGTGAAGACGTGTCGTGACCATAGCTCATTGTCTTCAATGTTGTAGGCAGTTATGAGGTCCTGTCCGCCCAGGTGGATCAGGAGAACCTGTGCCCATACCACCTCTAGAATGCTATTGCCTTTCCCAGAGCTACAATCTTGCCTGCCCTGGCGGTTGAAGAGGGTGGCAAGGGCGTATATGGCCAGTGCGTCGCTGCCTAGGTACGAGAGCCATATTATGGATCTAATGTTATTTATTGAGGTGGCTGTATGCATCTTTCTGATGCAGAGGCCGGGGAGCTCCCCCTTTTCAAAAAAAAAAATATGGATCTAATGTAGGGAGGAATTGCATGCTTACGTCAAGAGGCAGAGAAGAAGAGAGGAGCCACTGAACGAAGAGACTGCTGAGCACGAGGATACGCAGCTTCCACTCCTCCCACCATTCCACAGCACCCGAGAGACTCATGACTGGAGTGCTTCTGCTTCCTCTAGTCTGCTCGAGGTGTTGAGTATTGTTTATTTTTCTAGGACCAAAGATAGCACTGGAACCAGCAGGTCATTCTCTAATGAAGGCCAGGCTTTCAAGGGAATGTGAAGGTGCTTTTGTTGCCAGCAACCCAGTAGTGTTGCTTTTGATGGTGCTGTGCCTTGCGTGCTGGTGGTAATTAAGTATTCCTCCCTTGCTCATGATTCATGCACTCCTCTCTGCCATTTTTTGCCTTTTGCTTTGTCTTTTGCTAAAGGTTAAAGCAGTAAATGGCCAGGCTTGATCGTATTTGGCAAGACTTGGCCACCCGATTCTTTAAAGTCGTCCAGGAATCCTATAGTATATTTAATTGAGATTGTGCAATGGTGCACAAGGGTGGTTAATCATATTTAGGTTGACTGGGACAATCAGTTTTATTTACGGACTCTTAACCCGTGGATGTATTCAAGTAAATAACAACAACTATCAAAACCTTTCTCTAATTCCCGTGCCATGGTCGAGGTGCCTAAGCTTCTTTTGATTATACCACTGAAGAATCCAGCCTAATTAACTTTCTATTATGTATAGTTACAAACTTGCCCGGGGTGTGCATTTCTGCATGCAGGTTCTCAAATGATTGTACAACGACTGCATGCAGGTTCTCAACCTACCGAGAGGTGAAGAAGCTGAAGCAATGAATTGACAGCGTGATTCCATGGATGCCTGCCAAGGTTGAAAGATGCATGATGTTCATGTATCTTGTCTTTGCCAGAACGACATGTACACCACACCTTGAAATAGGCTTTTTGCCCCGCTTTATAAATAAAGCAATGATCCGTACAACCACACCACGCCACGATTTTTATCATCTCTAGAGCTCACATCATTTCATTTTGTATACCAGCACTCTCTGCATTCCTATGGTACAAATTAGTAATACTACTAGAAGGATTAGGCGTGCTTTGCTCTGCCATTTATTTTTTGAAAAGGGCGCTTTATTATTTAAAAAAATTAAATATCACATTCGGCCTCTGCACAACTAAGATGCACAAAGCCAAACAAGATCTTCTCATACAAACCAAAAATAAAAAGGCGAAATACAAAGAAACATGTAGAATCCGTATAACGCCTAAAACAGAGGGAAGTCAATCCTAAGATCATGCTCCCACCTACGTTGGGTAAAAGTATGCCTCGCTGTAGCATTCAATCGTGTACACACCTGCGTAAACAGGTCTCGATTCTCCAGCATTGTAGAGAGGACCATAAACGAAGAGTCTCGAGAATATGAGAGAAGTACTTTTATCGTTAAAAACCTAATCATTTCTACATAGCCAAAGCAACCAAATGACAGCAAGCGCTTCCACCTTGAGAAGAGTTCTAAACTTGTGATCAATCCCATGTAACAAGTCAGAAACTATTTGGATGACTCACCATGCATGTCGGTGTATAAAAGTAGGGGCTCTCCTTTTGACCCCTTTACTTGTGCACGGGCAGTCAAAGCCACGCGCCACGGCCACACGTAGCAGGGCAGAAGAGGGAAGCCGGAGAGAAGCCGAAGCCCAAGACAAGCAAGACAACGCCAAGACCAAGAACCAAAAGAGCAGAGGGGCGAAGCAGGTTCCCCCGGCAAGACCCTTGCCGGGGCAGCCTCAGCAGCCCCGGCAAGAGCCTTGCCGGGGCAGCTCGCCCAACACCAGCGGAGTGAGCCACCCTAGAGCCCAAGGGTTCCAAACGCCGCCAACGACTACGTTGGAACCAAGGCTCGGGAGGCACCTATGTGGTGGCATGCAGATCTTTGTCAAGATCATAAGCATACAAGATCAGAAGAGGACCAGAAGATGGTGACCCTCGGCGGGATCCTAGCCGAGGAGATCTACAAGACCCCCGGCAAGCGCCTTGCCGGGGACGACTGCAACGCCACGGCAAGACCCTTGCCGGGCCCCCGGCAAGGCCCTTGCCGAGGACATCAGCGGGGCCACAGCTAGGCCCGCGTCGACCAAGACTCCACCGCCGTTCACATGCAGCTGCCAGCCCAACCAGCTGGGCAGGCATCTGCATGGCAACATGCGGCTTCCAGGCCAACTCAGCAAGCACCTGCGTGGTGGCATGCAGATC